GGATGACCACACATTTCTGGTGCTTCACATGGACACAAATGACATTGCCATAAATAATTTTAAAAGTATTGAAAAGCAAGTTTTAGAGAATAAACTGAAAACCAAAGTAGCAAAAGTTGACAAGTTGTATTTTCCTCTTAATTGCCTTTTGAATACAACAGATGCAAAAAAAAAAACCAAACAAACAAAAACAAAGGAGTGAACAGCAGCTGGCTAAAAATGCTTTTTAAAAATAAGATTTAGATTTCTAGAGCAATGCTTAAAATATAGAGATGATAGCTTACTAGCGAGAGAGGGATTACACTTACTGAATTTAGTTAGGATACATTGCAAATATTATCACAAAGGAGGAGGAAGACTATCTATGGATAACCTCCAAATTATGTGCCATTGAGAGTAGCTATGAAGAAGAAATACGAATTAGCAGCTAAAAAACTCACAGGTCCTTATCTTGGAAAAATGCAAGAAGACTAGTAAAAATCATGACCTCAATTATCAATACACAAATGCCTGAAGTGGCAGCAACAAATGAGGAACCAAAGAGGTGAATGCAAGGAGACAAATTTATCCTCTTTGGTATCACTGAAAGTTGGTAGGATGAAACCTGTGATTGAATCATGGCTCTGGATAAATATTTTTCATTCAAAAGAAAACAAGATAGGTAAAAGAGGCAGGTATGGGGCAGGATTGTACTTAAGAAGATATGCTCATGAGAAAATCCAGGAACCAGAGATGGTAATCATGACAGAGAATATTTAGGTGAAGGTCAGTGATAGGAGAGACAATAGTTTTTGTCATTGTAGTATACAAAAGAACATCAGGATAGAAAGAGAAACTAGATGAGGAGTTTAGGAAACAAACCACAGGCCTGCTACAGAGGCATGATAAAGTAGTAATGGGAGATTTCAATTATTCAGGCATCTGATCAAGTCCTCTTTTTGCCAATAGCAAGGCAGCTAATAAGTTATTGACATGCTTTAATTATAATTTCATCTTTCAAGTAGTGGAAGATTCAACAAAGGGAAATTATGTTTTGGACCTTTATTTTCATTAATTGTGAGGAACTAGTTGGTGGAATAGAAATGATGAGATTCTTGGGGTGAGATGGGGGGGTGGGAGAGAGTAATCGTTGTCTCCTAGAGTTTTGGAATTTGACTTCTATTCTTGGGGAAATTTGTGAGTAGATAATTAAAAAGATGGTTAGTAAATATCTAGAAACCAATGCAGTGATTACAAAGAACTAGTGGTTCTATCCAGATTAGGTCATGCCTTCTTCCTTCCTTCCTTCCTTCCTTCCTTCCTTCCTTCCTTCCTTCCTTTCTTCCTTCCTTCCTGATAAAGGGAATGCTGTGGGTATAGTTTACGTATTTGGCAGCTAGATGACACAATAGATAGAGTACTGGGCTTAGATTAAGGAAAACCTGAATTTAAATCTGGCCATAGACACCTAGTAGCTGTGTGATTCTGGCCAAGTCACATAATCTCTGTCTACCTCAGTTTCCTCAACTCAAAAATAAGAGTAATGATAGCCCCTATCTTACAGGGTTGTTGTGAGGATCAGATGGTGTAATATTTGTAAAGTGCTTAGTACAGTGCCCAGCACATAATATTTGCTTAATAAAAGCTTATACCCTTCCCTTCTCCCTTCCTAGATTTTGCCAAAGTTTCTGATACATATCTCCTACTATTCTTGGGAAGAAGATGGAGATATGTGGATTAAATTATAATACAATTAGATGGATTCACAGTAGTTGTGTGGCTAGACTGCGTGATTAGTAATTAGCATTTTATTGGCACCATGGGAGGATGTCTTTAGTGGAGTGCCCTGTCCCCCCAAAAAAATCTGTGCTTGATCCGTTACTGTTCAACACTTTATCAGTAATTGGATAAAGGCATAGATGCTCATTAAATTTTGATATGACATTAAGTTAAGAGGCATTGTTAGCACATTGTATGACAGAATTGGAATTCAAAAATGTCTTAACAGACTAGAGCATTAGGATGAATCCAATAATTTAAAATTCAGTGGGCATAAATATAAAGACCTTGATAGGAGATTCAAACAACTTCACAAATACAGGATGGAGGAAGCATGGCTATATAGCAGTTCTGAAATAGACCTTAGGGGTTTAGTGGACTGTAAGTACCTGAGTCAACAACGTGATGAGTTAACTGAAAAATGTTAATGTAGTCTTGGGCTGCATTAAGAGAGTCATAGCTTCCAGAGATAAGGATGAAATAAGCTTACTGTAGTATTCTCTTATAAGATCTCTTCTGGAGTATTAGGTTCAGTTCTGGGTTCCGTAGTTTAAAAACATTGATAAATGGGAGAGCGTCCACAGGAAGAAATCCAGGATGGTGAAAGGCCTTGAGTCCATGTCATATAAAGATTGGTTGAAGAAACTGAGCATGTTTAACCTAGAGAAGAGAAGATCTAAAGGGCTGTGCTGAGTCAGCATGTTGTAGTGGACAGAGCTCCGGAGCAGGGAAGCTGGAGTTAGAAGATTTAGGAAATGAGAGCACAGGTCATCTGGAGCCAGATATTATGGAGATGGGGCCACATTTCCCCTCCCCCCTACCCGGTTCTTCCGCTTTCTACCTGTGTGACCTTGGGCAAATCATTTTCACTGTGGCTCTGGGCTTCATTTTCCTTATCTATAAAATGATAGGTTATACTAAATGATCTAACATCCCTTCTGGCTCTAAATCTGTGATGGTGATTTTATTATAACTGTCTTCAAGTATTTGGAGGTCTGTCAGGCGGAAAAGGGATTGAATTTGTTCTATTTAATCCCAAAGGAAAGAACCAGGAGAAATAGATTCAAAAACCACAAACTTTCTCACAGAGCTATCTAGAAGTGAAATAGGCCCTGCCTTAGAGGAGGTCTTCAAGCAGAGTTAAAATGATCATTTGTCACATATGTTGTAGTGAGTATTCCTTTCATACATGGATTGGAATAGATTGCTTTTGAGGTCAGTCAGTCAATAAGCATTTATCAAGCAGCTACTACGTGCCTTGTACTGTATTTCTAACTCCCACATTCTTTCATTCTGTGAAATTTGCATAAATTAGCCATTTGCTTGATAACTCTTTATTTGTGTATTGTTGGTTGAGTTCATGGTTAAGTTCAGCTGCCCATGGAGAATTTTTTGAGATGATGATGATAGTAGTGTTTTTTGAAAATAGAACTTTTTTTTTTTGACTAGGCAATGGGGTTAAGTGACTTGCCCACGGTCACACAGCTAGTAAGTGTTATGTGTCTGAGGCCGGATTTGAACTCAGGTCCTTCTGACCCCAGGGCCGGCGCTCTGTCCATTGCGCCACCTCACTGCCCCTGAAAATAGAACTTTTAATCATGGCTATAATTGGATATTCTAGTACAGCTAATGTTTTTGTGTTGCACTGAATTATTATACTTGTGTTCCTTAACTTTTGTAGTATAGGAAACATGACTAATTAAAATGAGAATTTAACTGAAGTATACAGTATAAGTGAATAACCTTCTGCAAAATATAATTTGACTTTTAAAGAAATAGTTGGACATGAACTTAATGAAGTAATAGTGATCATGTATGATTCATGGACTTAATTGTAATGCTATTTTGTCTTCATTGGGTTATGGTTCATATATATCACTATGCCAACTATTGAGGAGTTTTTTTTTTAATTCTCACTGACTTCTACAAAGCTACTACCCAAATATTGTGCAGTATTGAAAAAATGATCCTTTATTTTTTATTTCATTTGAAATATTTGTAAAGAACTGTTTAACTTACTGGTTTGGGAAGTTTACTATGAGGTATATTTGAACTTTGGTAGACATCTGTGTTTATAAAGAAATTTCAGTAGTTGTCTTTGAACTTCATTTGAGGGGATGCTAGTTTTTAGCTGCCTATGTAATACTAATATGGTATGACATTGTTGTGAATCATAGATGCTAAAACTTCAGTTTTACGTCTTTGATTTAATAAAAACACCCCTAGTCCTTAAATTGTTGAGTTGGTGTTAGTATTATTCCAATAATACAGATGAAAATTGGTAATCTGGCATTTATTTTAAATGGGCATATGCATAGAGGATGATTTATCAATTAAATTTAATACACTTAAAATCCTGTCTTTAGGTAAGAATAATAGACATAAAGCTGGAAGGGACCTTAGAGGTGACCTAGTTCAGTTCTTCCTCACCTACTTCCAATCCTCCTTCCTGAATTGTACCAACAGGAAATTAAGGTCTAGATTCAGACCCTGATTGCAAATATCTATTGACTCTCAGAAGGATTAATTCTTAACTCTGATTGTTTTTTATACACCAGGGTATATACTAATTGTTTTATAGTATATAAAAATTTATTAAAACAAAACTTAAGTTTCTGTAAGTGAATAAATCAAAATATACCATAGAATCATTTTGAACAAGTGGTAAGATAATGAAACCTAGCAATGACAGGTTTTCACAAACTTTAGTTACTCTTAGGAATTTATTTGCGGGCCTGAGGAATGAATTTTTTTAAAAAAAGTTACATTAAGCAAATGGGAAATAGAATTTTTTTTAGTTTGTATTTTTGGAGAAATTTCCTTTTAATGTATTTGCTAAGATAAATTTAACAAGTGAGAAAATGCAAAATTTCATAATCAATCCACTCCCCCAGAAAGTAGTGGTGAAACCATGAATAAAAGTCATAATATTTTCTAGTCATAAGACTAGCAGTTTTGTTTCTTTTTATTATTTAGCTTCCAGGATTATAAGCATGAAAATCTTGAAAATGTTTGAGTGATATAAATCTACTTTATTTTCATATATTTTCTTATTGAAAAATGTATGTTATGTATCATAATGTGAATATCATCTTGTAAGAATTACTCTGATAATAATTGATTTTACAAAGTATGTCACAAATTAGTAGTTAAATTTATTCTAACAAATATTACCAATTTCAGTGGAATAATTTTGGTTTCTAGCTCGTATAATTAAAATCTTTGCTTTCATGTATTCTCAGGTGATTCTGGCCAAAGATTCAGAGAATGGATCAACCAAGTTTTAAATCACGACTTAGTTTTTCAGCACATAAAAATTATTTATCCAACTGCTCCTTCGAGGTATGTAGTGACTGGACTTATTGACCAATATAACTTTTTTTTTTAACATAAAATGCAAATAGTAATGGTGTTGGAAATATGTTAAAGTTAATTCCTTGTGCTTTAACTTTGTGATAAATGCACCATTATTTTAAATTAAATTTTCGTTGCTTAAATTTGACCCCAAAGTTAGGGAGGACATCTAAAATTCTTTAAACTTGTAACATTATGTTAAATCATTTAAGGTTAGTAATTTTCTCCTCTAAAGAAATTTTTACTTGAAATACCACTTCTATACCATTTTTTACCATGTGAATAAATTAGAGCTTCTGTATCAAGGAGAAACAGAAGCAAAATCCTAATGTAAGTCAATCACAGGTAAGAAAGTAGTAGGCTTTTCTTTTCATTCATAAGTAATACCCAGTGGGTAGGAGTGGACAAGCTTTAAGAGGTTTTTCAAGTACGGGCTAAGATATCAGAGTAATTTTTTTTTAAAAATTATATTTAAAGAGTCCTTTCATGCAATCCCAGAGTTGGAAGAGTCCATCTTCTTAAATCCCTGACTGAACAAGAATCCTCTCTACAACATCCTGGATAAGTTCATTCAATTTTTGCTTGAAGACTTCCAGTGAGGGGGAATATACACTGAGAAGGAACAGTCAGACACATAGGAAAAGATCTCGAAAAGATCAGTTAAGTGGTCAGTCATATCACAAGGCACAGAGCAGTCAATAGCATAAGAACTGAGAAAAAACATATTTAGCAGTTGAAGACATTGGTAAACTGGGAGGACGCTGTTTTGGTTGAGTAGTGGGGTTGGAGACTATATTTCAAGGGGCATATTAAAAGCCATCTTTCAGAATGACATCCTGAAGATACCAAAACAAATTCCAAGAAGGAAGAAAATGGACAATATTCTGAAGAAACTAATGTGTTTTCACAGAGAACTTACCAACAAAGTGTTAGAGAAAACCTAAGTACCCCTTGATGAGTACTTGTCACCTAGAATAGACCAACTAAAAAATGTAATTACTGAGCTACCATCAGCAATATTTGAAAAATTCTGGAAAAGGGCAAAGTCCCAGTTTTCCAAAAGGGAAGAGTAGAATTTGTCAACTATGGGCCAGTAACCTTGACTTCAGTTCCTTAGAAAGCTGTAGAAAAGAGGTGTCAGATATGTGACCCACAGACCATAGTGCAGGCCACAACACTCTGACTTGGGTCAGAACGAGATTAAAATGTAATTAACAAATTTTTAACAAAATAAATAAAAAAATAGAAGCTAGATAATATTAATATGTGGTTTTCTAAGTCAATATGCACCCTACAGGGATCCCTATTATATATGGTTTAGAGGCCCCTGTTTCTTTTTGAATTGGACACCACCATTCTAGAACATATTCTTAAAGAGATGATTAGTGAAAACCTAGAAAAGCATCAATGACTAATAGTCAACATGGCTCTATTAAGAACAGGTTATGACAGTCTAAACTTACTTACTTTTTTGATGGGATTATTATACTGGTAGCTGGAGAATATCTAAAGATAGTACCATGTTTTTCTTGCAGAAAAGTTGATATGGGCTAAATGATAGTATAATTAAGTAGATGCGGAGATGGTTGATTGGCCAGACTCAAAAAATAGTAAGTGACTGAAGGATTTGTACTTGCCCATGTGCTATTAATCTTTTTGCTGATGAATTCAGTAAAGACATAGATGACATGCTTATCAGATTTGCAAATGACACAAAACTGGAAGAAATGGCTAACACTCTTAATGATAGAGTCAGGATCCAAAAAAATCTTGATAGGTTATCATGGTTGAGGAACTTGTGGCCTCAAGGCCACATGTGGCCCTCTAGGTCTTCAAGTGTGACCCTTTGACCAAATCCAAACTTCACAGAACAGATCCCCTTAGTAAAAGGATTTGTTCTGTAAAACTTGGACTCAGTCAAAAGGCTGCACTCAAGAACCTAAAAGGCCACATGTGGCCTCAAGGCCACAGGTTCCCCTCTCCTGGGTTAGATAGAACATTAAGATGAATCTAATAAAATGAAACTTAATAGAGATAAAGATAAAAACCTTACTTACATCTAAAAATTCAATTTCATAAATATAAGATGGATCATTAATGGTTAGTCAACAGTTTGTCTGAAAATCTGGGCAATTTGAGAGAGGGCAGCCAGAAAAGATTAACAGGACCTTGGACTTCATTAAAAGAAGAACAACTTCCAGAAAAAAAGAAGGTGATAGTCCTTCTGTACTCTGCCCTGGTTAGACCATATATGTAGTATTATGTTCAGATCTGCCTGCCACTTTTTATGAAGGATGACACTGATAAGGTAGAGAGTGTCCAGAGGATGGCAAATGGCTTGATGCAATTACTATCATACCAATAGTTCACGTTTCTATAATGATTCAAGGTTTGCAAAACAATTTATGTATGTGTGTGTATATATATATATATATATACACACACATACATATATATATACACATATATATGTGTGTGTGTGTGTGTGTGTGTATAATTTCATTTAATGTCATCTAAAGATTGATTGAAGGGACTGAGGTTAATAGCCTAGAGTGTAGAAGGGTAAGTGGGAACATGATAACCTTCATCAAGTATTTGAAATGCAGTCAAATGCACAGGGAATAGACTTGTTCTTTTTGGTCCCAGAGGGCAGAACAATGTAATGGATGAAAGTTTTAAGGAAGGGAATTTAAACTTGATGTAAGTAAAAACTTGCTGATAGTTAGTAGGATGGGTTGCCTTGTGTGGTAAAGGATTCTTACTCATTGCAGGTCTTCGAGTGAAGGCTGGATGAACTCCTGTTTGTCATACTGTTTCTCTAGACAAGATTCTTTTTTCTGCTATTGATTGGACTAGATCATAGTTTGTTCTTTGTGTGTGTGTGTGTGTGTGTGTGTGTGTGTGTGTGTGTGTTGAACCCTTTTGGTAGTTTGGTGAAAACCTCAGTATAAAATTGTTAAATGTACAAAAAAAGCCACAGAGGATTACAAAGGAAACAAAAAGTTAATAAAGATAAAGATGTGTTTTGTTTTGTTTTTTTCCATCTATGTTCGTGGACTCACTGAAACCTGTTTACAGACTGTAGGTTAAATTCTTGGATTCTTTATTGGTAAGTTGAGGAGATGGGGTAGTCAAATGAAAACTTTTAAGCACAGAGGAAACATGGGCGTGTTTGCAGGTATTGAGGGAGGAAGCCATTGAATAAGAAATATCATATAAAAGTGAAGTAATGATCAAAGGGGCAGAATAGGTGATAGGACAAAGAGTATAGACTTCTGGCCAAGGTACCTAATCGAACAAGGCCACCTAGCTCAGCTCCTGAATAGCTACTCAAGTAAAACCCTGAAAATCACACCAGATTTAATAATGATCAATAAATCCAATGAGTAACTAAAATAAGTGATTTGTTTCATCACCAAACACAAAAAGTTAGCCAGAAGCTCATGCGAAATAGGAGAATAGACTGTCAGCACATGCAAACAAGCTCAGCCTCTCAACAAGACCAAGGACAATAGCCTGGAAAGAGTGAAAAGCATAGGACTCCCATGAGAAACCCCAGGAAGAGTGAGAAATCAACAGTGAGGTACTTGGAAGTCACTGAGAGCAGCAGTGACCAGTGAAGGTGTGGCTTTTCTTAGACAGGAACAACCCAGGTTTTTGGGGTCCCCGGCTCTCTGCCTTGAAACGTCACAGAGGGTCTTAAAGATCCATTACTCTGAACATCAAAGACCTAGAAAGAGCTCAACCCCAGGAGGAGGATGTCAGCACTGGACCCTGGGTTACCAGGTGATATTCCTTAGCTTTCTGTGCTGGTCTCAGAAAGCAGGGTTGAACACCCCACTCAAAATCACAGGAGAAGGTAGAGTCTGGCCCTAGTGCCAAGTTCCAGTTTAGGAACTAAGACTTGGTAGATGAGTAAAACGAAGAAGACTCCAACTTCAGTAAAGAATAATTGTAGATCCAGAGATGCCTAAAAATCCAGCCTAAAAAGAGAAAGTAACTCCCTTAACAACTGCAAGTGGAGACTCAAGGGAAAGATCAGTAGATTTTTGCAAGGTCTGTGTGAATACTTAAATGAAGCAAGGAATTATAAAAAAACAAAATGTTCTTGAACAAAGGGTCAAAAGGAGAATAAATTGATTAAGGAGGGGAAGAGGGAAGGAAATTTATGTGCCAGATATTATACTAAGCATTTTTATAAATATTATTTTTTGATCTCAGAAGAGAAAATGGTAAACTTTACCCATATAATGTACTGTCTGCCAGCTAGAGTAGACTAAAATGAATTCAGTGACTCCATGAAACAACACGAAGTATTAGAACAAAATCAAAAGATTGAAAGAAAAAAAATAGATGAAAATTCAAACTGTCTGATAATAAAAGCAACTGACTTGGAAAACAGGTCAAGGGGAGATAATATAAGAATCAGTGGACTCCCTGAAAGCTATGATTAAAAAAAAGGCCTAGATACTTATATTTCAAGAAATCATAAATGATGACTCAGAACTATGAGAATTATAGGGCAGAATGAAGTTGGAAAGACTCCATCATTCACCTGTGGAAAGAAATCTCCAAAGGAAAATTCTCTGTTACATCATAGCCAAAATCAGAGCTTCCATGTCAAAGAAAAAAAATACTGCAAGAATCTGAAAGGAGTTATAGTACCAGGTAGCCACATCTTCCCTATATTCTTCTCATCAGAATTTTTTTTTGTACGTACATCTTCAGAATTTTATTCTTGAGAGCTTCCCAGGGCTCCTTGACTGAGTTCTCTTTCAGAATTAGTCCATGAGATGTTTCCTTTTGTTTCTCTAAACTTTGAAATCTGCTCTCGCAAAATCTAGAGTGAATTTGAGATGATGTCTCAATTTCCTCACATCTATCACAGATTCTGAGATCATAATATAAATTTAGGACTGCAAGGAACCTTGAAATCATCTCATCAGATCCATGTAGGTTAAAAGTGAGGACGCTAAGGCCCAGGGAGATTACACGACTGCCCCACAGTCACAGGTACAGCAGTACCCAGCAGAGGCAGTTTCAAACCCTAGTCCCCTGACTCCAAATCCAGTTCTCTTTCTACTACACCATTCTTCAGTAATTATTTTTCTCTGTGGTTCCCATCACTTCCATATCAGCAATCACTTCTTTATGGGTGAAAATTAAAATAAAAGTAGAAAATCTCCTTGGTTCCTCCACCCTCTGAAAAATGAAATTGTCATTAAGGTAAGCAAAAAAAGTTATTTTTTGCCCAGCTTTTGCAGAGTGTGAACTTCAACAGAGGTTTTAAATCATTGAAGTTCTTCATTATTGTCTCCACACCAGGCTCATGATCTGCTTCCCTGAACCCATCTCTTTGTTATTTTTGTAGTTTGATACACCCTTAACAATATCTTTTATGTTTCTACTTCTATTTATCTTTACCTCAAAAATGTCCACTAGGCTTTCCCTATCCTTCGTTCCTAGATTTTCTGACATGAATATATTCTTTATGTTCAGAAAGTCTCATCATCCAAGATTCATTGCAATCTATCAGGCCAAATTTGCCTCCTTAAATTAGGGAAAGATCTTTATTTTATTCTGCATATTTCTCATATTTTTTGCACTTGTATATTGACAATTGAGTCCATTTCTTCCCTTCCTCATCCTCTAAATTAAAGCCCTTTTTTATTAGATTTGCTAGACTCTAAGCAAGTATATTCTAAGTGAAATTCATCCTTGACCAGGAGTCTTTCATTCCATTATTTAAAAACATGGTCCAGAAATCATTATCTCATTCTAAGACATCAAATTTATTATCAGCTGCTCACTTCCCAGATCTGCCTCTCTGTTTGAGGCAGATCTGGGAAATGAAAAGCTAATAATTGCTTGATCATCAACAGTGATGAAATTACCACCTTTGCTTCAGTTTTCTTCCTTTTTTCCTCCCAAGTCTTCATAATCTTTAGCAATATCCTCTAGAGTTCTTTCTTGGGCCCTAGTAAATTACTAAAAGCAGTGATGACTTAAAATCATCCATCTAGTTTATTGGGAATTTTCCTATCAGGTCCTTGACATATGCTTCAGGACAGAAGTCCTCCTACTGCATTTATACTGTGGACAGATAAATGTGTCATTACCCCTCAGCATGGCATCTTCAAATGAGCTATTGCTCTTTTCATCCTCTAACCTTTTTTACCAGATCACCTCCTAAATAAGAGCAGCTATGGGCTCTCATCATCATTCCTTGAAAAACAACTGCTTCCTCCTCAGAGAGCCCATCTAACTTCTTATTCTTTGGGAAGTATGGTATATTTGTTACTTAACTTCATGTGTCCAGTGGTCCTTCTCTTTCTCCTCTGTGCCATATTTTTTTGTCATCCAGTCTCCTGACAGAATTCAGGGGTCTCCTTTGTCTCTTCATATCCTTTAAAAAAATTTCACATCAAAACCGTTCTTTCATTTAAGAAATGTCATTAAATAATTTTTTTTCTGTCAGATAACCAGAAGAGTGGAGAAGCATTCTTTTGTCCCTTTTATCTTCTTTTCTAGTAGGGAGACCAGCCTGCATTTTGAACATAAATAATTATTTATCTGTGACAGAAAGGCAAATATCACCACATACTTTTTTCATTATACTCTATTTAGGTGTCTGTAAAATTTGACATCCTTTTCATACTTTCTAGAAGCAAAATCTTCAATCTTTTATTGTTCTTGATAATACCTTTTGTGGCCATCTCCTTTGGAAGACTCTTACATGACTTTCCTTAATCATATCAACTTCTTTTTCCTTGAGTCCTACTTCTTCTAAAACTTCTTCAGTCTTGTGCTAGGTCATACAGCCAGTAAGTGTCAGAGGGAGCATTCAGTCCCAGGTCTTTGCAACCCCAAGTCTTAGCACTCTCTGTTATGCCATGCTCCTGATTTCCAGGTTAGGAAAACTGGGAAAAATCACTTTTAATTCTCTTTTTCATCCTTTATAAAACATTTGGTTGGATTAAATGACCTCTGAGATGCCTTTTAATCTTATAACCTTTATCATAGACCAGTTTTTACCCTCAGTTTTTAGCTTTGCAGCCTTCCTTTTTTGGAATAGGTTGAAGATTCAAGTAGCAACAAATCAACTTTTTTCATAACGCAATAATAACTTATAAATACCTTAAGGTAGATATGATGAGTATTCTTATTCCTATTTTATGGATAAGAAAGCTAGAACTGAGAGAAGGTAAATGAGTTGCCTTTGAACACATGACTGTTTAATGCCAGGGATTTTAACCCAGATTTCCTAACTCCCAACCCTGGCACCTTTTGCACTGTACCATTAGGTTGACTGGTAGTCTAGTGGATAGAATACTAGACTTCGAGTTAGGTAGACTTGAGTTTTGAATCCTGACTTAGATACTCACTAACTGTGTGGCCTGGGGCAATTCACATGTGCTTGCTGGGCCTCAGTTTCCTCATCTGTAAAATGAGGGAGTTGGATGGCCCTGAAGGTGTCTTCTAGCTCTAAATCAGTGTATGATCCCATGATCTTCTCTTTGGGGTATAGTTCTTTGCATTTAGTTGATTCTTACCAACCAAATGAGCAGATGAAGCCATGCACAGTAAAATCTTTGAATCTTATACAAGCTTAATCAATCAATACAAAATTACAAATTCACATGGAAATAAAGATTAGCCCTAAAAGAGTTTTTTAAGCACTCGGCTACTCTTATTTTAAGACCTAATTACTTTCAACCAGAAGCATTAAACATTTTTCCATTTCCCCAGAAAGGAGTTTCTACTACCTGCCTTTCCTTACTCTTTTGAGTTTTAAATTTTTTTTGCTTCCTTTCCTTAGGGAATGGCTAAAGTTAGTTCTGGGATTTAGCACTCACAAATGTTAAATTTATTAAATGTTTGGTTGAATTAACTTTTGATTTCTAAGAAGTTTTTACTAACATTTTTTGAGCCAAACTTAATTGTGAAGACAAACTTTGTTTCATTTTAAAATATTTTAGGTAAAACTGGTTTCTTGTACTGAAGAAGTTTTTTAGGAAAATGAGAGTATTTTCATTTAGAAAGTCAAAAACACATAGCATAGTCAAAGAACAGAATAGGTGGAATTAACTAGGGCATTTAAAGAAAACTGTTTCATTTCTTTTTCTGTATTGTTAATGCCTCTCCTTGAAGCATCTATAAAAAATGAAAATGTGGAACTTTTCCTTTAAATAAAAAATATAGCAATTTGTAGTCATATATCCCTCAACACTATAGCTTTTCATAATATTACTGTATACTCTTTATGAAAGGGTGTATCAAAAGAAAAATACCTGAACTTCGTTTGTTTTTTTACTATAAGAAGTGAACTACATTATGGAATATTATGTTTCAGGCCCCTGTGCCTGATAAGAACCATTAAATGAAATAGTGAAATAAAACAGATGCATTTAAGTACTGTAATGCCTGCCACAGTTTGGTACCAATATACAAATAAAGTAAGTTTGTAAAGTTATGCTTATTGGTTGAAACCTAAATACCAGAAACCTGTACTGACCTAAGTCAAAATATTTGAATGATTAAAAATACAGCAAGTTAGATATTTTTAAAGGTCTGTTATGTTTCATTGATCTTTTTCCATAACAGTAATCAGGTGTATTGATGAAAATATAACAGTAGGTTATGAAACTAATTATTAAAAATTAAAGCATCATGAGTTTAAAAGCTTGATTTTTGGGGGGTTCCCAAACTTCCTAAGGGGTCTTCTAAACAAAAAATATAGAGAATAATGCTCATTTCAGTATTTTAATCAAGTTTGAAAATGTATTTCAAAATTACTCTTCTATCCCAAGCAGTCATATAATTTTTCTTTTTTTTTTTTATGTATAACAGGAGTTACAAAGTTTTGTTTCCAGATACCTCTTATAGAACTTTTTTAAAGCAATTGGCAATGTCAGCTTTTTATAAAATCTAAAATAACAAGTCTAAGAATATTTAACTTTTCAAATATAAATCAACTTTGTGTTAATTAAGAAATAAGATATTGTAGGTTAAGGGTTTCTAAGACTAACTTGGCCATTGCATCTTAACCTCCTCTCTCACATTTCTTTTAACGATTTAAAATTAAACAGAAAGTTCATCGCAGCAATGTTATCTGTTTGCAATTTCTTCATGGATTAAGGTAGGTCAAATTATTATTTTTCCCTATCAAATTATAATGATGTTAAGTGTTGTTTTTACTTCTTAGAAACTGCCCAATAGTGTTATAAACTGAAAAGATAATCAAATGAGATAATGTATACAAACTGCTTTGCAAACCTTAGTATCTATATAAATTAGAGAGATTATTGACACGAGTTTTAGTATTGGTATTCCTATAGCTTCTGCTTTTTCAATTAAACTAGTCATAGTGATATTGGTGGATGTTGCTCATAATACTTTTTTAATTCAGTCTTATATTATTTTCAGTTCCTAATTCTGTTCTTTTGTCCTCTCCCTTCCTCTTCCATTGAGAAAGCAAGAAAAACAAAACTTATTACAAATATATATAGTCAAGCAAAACAAATTCCCATATTAGACAGGTCATACATAACCTCTTAGTCTTATGCTACCAGGTTTAGTGAATATAATATGTTATATATATATATATATATATATGAGTTAATTTTAATTTTTGTCTAGATTTTAACATTTTGCTCCACAAAATGTTAATTACCTACTTGTGTTTTTCTTCCAGTTTATGTATATGTGTTATGGGCCATATTCAGAAAATGGCCCATTTATAGTATGTGATTATCTGGAGATAAATCAATTGTTCCTGACTAAATTCAGAGAAATATTTAGGGCTATTCAGTACTATTAGGATTATTAGGGGTGACTGCAGATTATCAGATTAAATAGTTTATTTTCTAGGAGGTAACTAGTTTTTCTGTCACTTTTTTTTTTTTACTTCTAAGTCAGTAAAACGAGTAACAGTCAAAAGACCACAGGACTAGAAAATAGAATGCTTTACTTATACCCCTTGACTCTACTTTTTAGTAATTACTTGACCTTTGGCAAATCACTTAGCCTCTCTGATCCTCCTCAGCTTCCTCACCTATGAAATAAAGGAATTGAATTAGATGATCCCTGAGATCCTTCCTAATTCTACCATTAACTATTGGAAATTCTGTCACAAGTCTGTGTAATTTCACATTTATTTTTCTAGCAAATTACTTTCAGAGCGTTTGACTTTTCAGATGGTCTTAAATGGCTTTTAATGTTTGTAAGTGGTTAGGCAGATGTTTTGCTTCCAGTTTCATAATGTAGGCCATAACCAAAATATATATTATATCCAATTTTTTAAGAAGTGCCCTTTGGTAAATTGTCAGATTAGCTCTGCTTCATTTGGAAAAGCTAGAGAGATTTGGGCTAGATAATATAGTTAGATAGAATCAGAACTGACTGCATGAGTAGGCTCAGAGAAGGGTTGTGAAGAGTTGTTGTGAAGGGTTTGGTATCATTTTGTCCAGGGGTCTCCCTCCAGTAGAGTGCCTCAGAGATCTCCTTTTGGGCCTTGTGCTCCTTAACATTTTTATAAGTGACTTAAAACAAGGAATTTGATAATGTATGCATCAGATTTGCAGTTGATACAACCTTAGGTTAGCTAACCTGCTGGAGGAGATTTTGACTAAGAGAACATTACTCTAGATCTAATAGGATGAAGTTTAGTAAAAGTAAATGTAAAGTCTTATACCTGGGTTCAGTATAAATCTAACAAGTGCAGGATAGGGGAAGGCATCATTGTCTGAAAAAGATGAAGAGGTTTTAGAGCACTGTAAACATTGTGAGTCACTTGTATGATGTCATAGCTAAAAAAGCTACTGTGAATAAAGGTTGCATTAAGAGAAACATCGTTTTTAGATATTAGGAGATGGTAGAGTACTGTGTCCTAGTCAGACGATGTTTAAAGTATTGTGTTCAGTTCTGGACAATATAGTTTATGTAGGATATTGATAAGACGGTGTCTAAAGGAGGACAGCTAGTATCATAAAGTTATGTTGCTGTAAGTTGTGTCATGTGAGGATCGATTGAAGTAAGTGAGTATATTTAGCCTGGAGAAGGGGAGTTTCCAGAGAGAAATGATGGTTCGCTCTCTTCAAGTATTTGAAGAAGTTGGACTTACCATTTTACTCCAAAGGCTATAATCAAGAGCAGTAGGTAAAAAGTTCAGAGATAAATTTATACTTGATATGAGGAAAATCTAACAGTTAGAAGAGGCTGGATACGTATGTGTTTGTGTGTGTGTGTGTGTGTCTATGTATCTGTGTGTATATATGAATAGCTATACATACACGGATATATAGAGCCTTTTCATGTATGGTGGATTCCTTTTAGGTATAGGTTGGGCTGGTCCCCCAACTCTGAAATTCTATGAAGTACATATAAAATATTGGTATACCTTTTTTAAGTGGGCAGAAGAAACAATGTTAATTTTTCATGTTTTTTATCCAAGATCAAATATTTTTTTCTTAAAATTTTACATGTAAAGTTAGTAACTCAGTTTTGTTTTTTGAAATGCCAAAATATTTGATGTGAAAAATGATGTTTGTGAAATTTTCTGTTTCCACAGAAGTTTATGTGAAAACAGGATGCCTATGAATTAGTATATCCTGATTAGCAGATACTCTTTAACTACAAGTATTGACAGATAACTAACAGCTGTTCTTGCATTGGCACATACTTAATTAGCTTATCTGACACACCTTAAGGTATAAGAGCTTGCTCTACTTCTGTGTGTGTTCTTTGGGAGCAGCATATCAGCTTCTTGCAAGAAACAAAATAAACGCCTTCCTTCGTTCGTTCTGTCTTTGAGTCAAGTACTTTGATCGTTTGTGTCATTTGAGAAACTAGTAATAAGTATTTGACAAACAACCTGCCATGGTTGGAAGAAAATTGGATTCAGTCTATAGACTTCAGTTGTATTCACATATTTACTAGTAACTAACTTCATGAATTTAGGTAAGTTAAATTCTTTGTGGATCTCAATTTTGTGTGATGGGATTTGGACTAGATAAACAAAGACGCCTCATTCAGCTCTGAACATTCTATGTGTTGTGCCAAAAAGGTAAGTTACTACTGTCTACCTGACTATATTTACTATGTTATACTAAGCAATCTTCAAACGTACACGTGCTAACTTTTGTAAACTTGTTGAAAGATTTTCATCTTTTTGAGAAAAATGTGAAATTTTGTCTTTTTTGAAATTTAGGGCATGGGAGATACTGTTTTGCAAAACTTTTAAAAAAATGTAAGTCTAGGAGGAGAGGATATAGAGTACAACAGGAAGAAGAAATCTGACATTAGGGAAGCTTATCTGAGAGATCCTTTTAAAGATTTCTAGAGCCTGTAGTTTAATTTAAAGTTGCAAGTAAAAATCTTGGGAACCCATTATTGTGTCATTAAAAAAAAATTAATGAACTACCCAAATCTAGTCTCAGTATCAAGTATAAGAATAATATTAATTGTGCTGTAAATGTATGTATAACTTTCTTGTATGTATAACTGTAAATTATTTGAATCCCTCTGTTTGGGATGACAGAACTAAGTGTATTGACCAGATGATCAAAGTTCCATACTACAGGGGACCTGGATTAACTTCACTTTCTTCTTTTTTAGGTAGGTAATTGGGGTTAAGTGACTTGCCCAGGGTCACACAGCTAGTAAGTGTCAAGTATCTGAGACCAGATTTGAACTCAGGTCCTCCTGACTCCAGGGCCGGTGCTCTATCCACTGCACCACCTAGCTGACCCCCGCCTTTCTTCTTACTAGATACCAATCATGCCAGTTTACTTTTTAAAAATTGTATGTGTGTGTAGCATATGCCATTTTTAAAGTTTCCACTCTTGACATGTTTTAGCTAACTTCTTTCATTAAATTACTAAAGCATGACTTTGTTAAATTGAATTCCTCCTATTCTGATTTTTACATTTTCATTAAAAATCAGAAGTTGAAGTTAGATCTGTAAGAGCTGATGTAACTCTTCAATCCACATCTACACTGCAAAGAAAAAAAAATCCTTTTAGGTTAGCATAGCAATAGCTTTAAATAAATTTCCATTTTAATTACTTCCATGCTGCAATATACCAAAGTATTGAAGTAATTGTGATGCAAATTGTATTTAATATAACAGTCATTTGTGTTTATACTTACCTTCCCATTTTCCAATACTTTCGAATTTGAATCAGATTTTTGGTATTATCTCTGACTTCCTTATTGTGGTCTTCATTTTTGGTAGCACTGTGGAAGTAGAACTTAACTTCTTGGTTAACTTATCATACGAGGTGTTATCTTTTTGGTATATTGTTTGAAGAGCTCAGCTATAGTATACATAGTTTATAGTAATACAAGCAAGACTACATAATTAGTGGGCATTTATGTATTGTTCTTAGCCATGTAATGCTTTAAATCATAGTGGAATTTTTGTACAACTTATTGTAGTAACTTACTGCCTTTGACATCAAGAGTTTAGGGCATTGTGATAATTGTATACTTTTTATTGTTTGATGACATGGTTATAGTGATAGGACTCCAGAATAAACTAGGCTCAGTGGTCCTAATGTCCATAAAAGTACGTAGGAAAAGACAAACCATTTGTACTTTTCCTCTGTTAACTCTCTGACAAGCATATAAGTCTCACAGTTTTTGATTGGATGAAACTCTGCAGCTAGTCCTCTCTTCAGTTGCCTTAGATAGTTAACATTAGATCCTCTCCTCAGTTTGGGGTCCTGATAACGAAACTTCTCCTACCCAAGCCTCACTCAAGCCTGGTATCAATAAGTGACCCCAAAATTTTTCTACCACATCTGGGTCTGATTAGGAATGCCCCCTCCCACATCTGGCACCAATTACATGTTCTCAACCAAGCCCATTCTTAAGGTATATAATTTTGCCACCTGAACTCCAACTATGGGCATGTTTCCTCTCTGATATGTTTCCCTCCCCCCTCACACTAGGTGATTTTTCTTGTATCTTTGGGGACAAGCTCTGTCTGTTTATATTGCCATTGTGTGTGTGTGTGTGCACACACACTCCTGTGCACTTTTGTTTCCCTGCTTGCTGTGCCACGTAATAACAAAGCTCTCACTTGTGTCAGCTTTTTGAGTACCAATTTCCTGGAAAATCCTAAACCCAGGACTTTGC